CTCTCTCTCTCTCTCTCTCTCTCTCTCTCTCTCTCTCTCTCTCTCTCTCTCTCTCTCTCTCTCTCTCTCTCTCTCTCGCTCGTGCGCGCGCTTAGACCGATTACTTTGGCTACTTTAGGGATGTGTTCCCCACGCCCATACGGTAGACAATTCGGGCTGCGGTCTACTGAAGTTCAACGTCTGTGTCAAGGTGTCGCATTTTTGGCGGAGGGCGACCAGGACGCAAAGTGGGTTCTTAGGGGGCAAAAAAATTTGGGGAACCGGTCCTTGCCAAAATTGCGGACTACCTACAGCTAGCTCTGGTAGAACCGGGACTTTTGGAAAAAGGATGGACCAGTCCTCGGGTGGAAGTGGACCCCAAAAAGAAGTGGGGGGCGTTGGACGGGTCCACAGGTGGAAGCGGACCCCAAAACAAAGTGAGGGCATGTGAAATGCAAAAGGGCCCTCAGGCCCAGGCGTTGAGGCCCATCTTCTCAAAACAGGGAGGTCAGGCTCAACGAAACAGGCGTTTTGCAAGAGGCACCTTTGGCGATTTCTTGTGCTTGGAGTAACCCCCAGAAAAATCTCAAATTTTGAGAATCCATAGATGAGGTCGTATCCTTTCCTGAAAAAAAATTAGAACATTTAAAAAAAATAACTTCAACCGAGAAATAATCGTCATGCTGATTCGGCACATTTTCCATTTTTGCCACCCAGCCATGTATGGGCCAACCTAAAAAGTATTCGAAATTCAGTGAGTTTTCACTCTCAGAAGAATGCGTGAAAAAACCTGAAAATTGGAGTACTCGTAAATTTTGTTGTGATGTTTCCAGGGAAAATGCTAAATAAAATTTAAAAAATCATTCCAACTACGAAATAGATCGTGGCCGCAATTTGACCTATATTTCAATTTTGCCATTTAACCTCTCTCTCTCTCTCTCTTTGTATATATATATATATATCATAGTTACCATCCGGACGTCCGGATCAGGATCCAGACTGTCCACGTCCGATGTCTGGGTCCGGAGTCCGGTTGGCGGGGTCCGGTTGGGCCCCGATTCAGAGAAATTCCGAAAATGTTTTTGGGGTCCCCGGCCCGTTCTCCAAGGTCAGGGGTACCCTGGAAAAATGTTCGCGCGTTTATTTTCGAATGGGAACCCCAACCGGACCGGCCTTGAAGGGGCCTGTTTGTGAAATTTGAATTTTCACTTTTTCAGATTGGCTTCAAGGCTTGAAGCGTTGTGGTAGGCCCGCCGGCGGGAGAACCCTGTTCCAAATCGAGGAGGTTGGCCTTCTGAGGTACAGCGTGAAGATGTCCGCCGCCACAGTTGTTGTCGAAGTGTTGGCCCGCTCCGCTGCCATCGCCGTCCTGCCTTGGAGGTCAGCCCTGTTCTCTGCTCACCTCGAAGACGTCCGTGGAGATGCCCCGTTGCCAGCTGAAGACGTCCTGCCTTCGAGGTCTCTCTCTCTCTCTCTCTCTCTCTCTCTCTCTCTCTCTTGAATCTTTCCCTTTTTTTCCTTTTTTTTTTTTTTTTTTTT